GGTCATACATTGCACAACACCATGGAGGTAAGAACAATGGCAGGTTTCTTTTCTGGGATGGGGCACAGACGACAATTGAGGTCTTCCAAAAGGCAGGGAAGAGGAGGACTATTTGCCCTTGTACGGGGAGGTGGTGCAAATTTAAATTTCGGGAGGCTCCTACTCCCTGGTGCATCCACTAGAGGTGCAGCACAGTTTTCGAAGTGACGTGACTAAATACAACAACAACAACAACCACAACGACAACAACAACAACAACAACAACAACAACAACAACAACAACAACAACAACAACAACAACAACAACAACAACAATAATAATAATAATAATAATAATAATAATAACTTGGAGATTTATTGGCCAAAACAACTCTGCATTTGTGATGCATGTCGTAGTGGAAGGCCCAGGAAAGTTAGTACACGCGGCCCTACTTAACGTTCACCTGTATTCAAGTACAAGGGCTTTTAGCAATTTGTCTTCATTCGAATGCGACCGCCCGAACCAGGAACAATCTCCGAACTTTCGTGTCAGCAGCCAAGCACAGCAACCATTGTACCAACAGCACGGCTGGTAAAGATTCAAGTCGGTTTTGTTTCTATTCTAGGTGAAGTCAAGTTATACGTTTCGTTAAAATAACTCTTGAGTTTCTGCTTTCGATCGCGTATAATAACAAGCACTGACGCTCAGATTTCGATTATTTTTTGTCCTGTTGCTATACGCATACCCACTTATTATGGCTGAAGAACTCGTTGGCAGGAGGGAACAACAATTACTTAGAGATGGTTTTGTAGCACTCAGTCCTAGTTTCGGTTTCAGAGACCACTGATAAAGTGGGATGCTGGGTGGTTTTGGTGGGAACATCACTGGCTACGTGAGCACGCAACAACGCGTGCACTTGAGGATCGCGTTGACAACTCTTGGCAAGACAGGCTTCCTGGGTGCTGCTATAATGCTGTCTGTGGCGTTGAGAATATGCGTGACACACCCAAAAAATCACAGCTTATCCACGGAGGGAATAATTATGAGTGAGGTCAGTCCGTGCGTTAATCCATGCGTCCAACTAAGTACCATCCGGCAAGCCGTACTTCTCCAAGTACGGGGACGATCCAGGAAAATGACAGATAATGGGGGTCAGCACCTCTTATTGCGATAGCAGTTATATACGGACACTCTCGGCTAGATTTCGCCACCGGCGGCGATGTCATGCACCATATATGTATACGTATCTATATATAAGAAAATGCAAGAAAAAAAAAAGATCAAGAGAAAAAATTGGCTCCGTATCTGCATGTAAATTGCAAATGTCATCGAAAGATGATAGTCTTGCGTGTGGAGAAAGTGAACAAAACATTTATTTGATGTTATGCACAAGAAAATTGGTGAATTTTATTCTGGAGGCGCTGCATTAGAGTGCCTCGAGCGTGCAGCGCTGCATTAGAGTGCCTCGAGCGTGCAGCGGAGACGAACGAGTTGGAAGTTAGCGCTCGTATCCTTCGTGTCCTTCTTGGCTCTTTGTCATCGTTCTGTTCTCGCGCTATAACTATCGAGCGCATCAAATCACGTCACACGTGAGACGTGAGCGCCATAGTGCAGTTTTTTTTTAAAACGAATCACTCGGCCCTGAGACGAACATGCGCACCCGTCTCAGAGGGGATAAGGGGTGCAACGCAAAGCGACGGGTAGGTGCCACCACCATGTCGTCTTAGCAAAGCGTTGGAAACAGTCGCTTCTTCGTGCAAGTGTTGCATGGTCAGCGCAACGTGATAAACGCTACGGTCCTTAGAAATACTTATGTATGCCTTTTCTGGTAAAAGACGCACATGCAGAATATATACGTGTTGTTATGGTGCCTCAGATATGCGCAATAATTGTTTTATTTGACGATCGCACAAGTATGAACGCTGAACCTTGAGCAACACTGGTGGGCACTGCGGATGGGGTCGGCCGTTTGGCGTATCGGCTGGTGCTGTTTAGAGTACCCTGTTCGCGGTAAGGATGAACAAACAGACAATTGTACAGACAGACAGATAAAGGTTTTTGCGTTGAGGGTCTCCAAGAAAGACTATCGTCTTTAAAACACTCCGGTGCGCGGAATCGAACGTGGGAACTCAGCGTCGTAAATGCGAGGCGTTTCAACTGAGCCCCCTTGGGGTACCTTCTGGGACGTTCAAACGGCAACCTATTTATACTTACCGCTCTTAGCGGGCATTTCCTGGGGGAACTATCGTGTTGTCAGCATTATCAGCAAGCTGGCGCAGTGAGCGCGTTGCGGCTCTCATCTGTCACGCGTACTTTGGCCTGTAGTAGAGAATAAGGGTGTGTATGCTCGATCGCGCACGCTTATCTTGCAGTGGGGAGGATAGTACGCCTCGTACGTATTCTGTTGTAGTTACCGGGCGCACAAAGGTCATGGCAATCCTTGCACATCCTCCGTTTGCGAAATGGCGCACTTTTCAGACAGGGCGAAGTAACAACTGAGACGCTTATTCGCGTTCATCTGTGCCTGTGAGTACGTTTCGTGTGTCATTGGTGCGTAAGAAACGTGGGGCACGTTTCGATCTGCTTGCCATCCTGCGCGTGACCTTCCAATTTGTTGCTATCGCGTTCACTGCTTCGCCTTTGCGCAAAGCTGTGACTTTTTTTTTATGGAGCTCGCGCCCCACGCCACGGCGAGTAGCTTACGCAGCAGCCAATTGTAGAGCAGCTGCACCTCCAACACCATCTAGTGTGCATTCACACAAACGACATATTGCATCTATCTTTATAGTACAATGTCAGTTTTACGAAACTAGACGAGAAATGGCGACGACGACGTGGAATGTATACAGCGCCATCTGGTATATTACCACCAAACTACATCGTTTTATAATAGCGCCATCTTTCAATGATAAGGGAGACACTACTGGGGTGGTACGCCAGATTGAGCGACGTCGGACGACGGCCGACCAGGTGATACTGTAAGAAGCTTAGCCCCTAAAATGTACTGCCGAAGCAAGCACATATGCCTTTGAACTCCTCGGCAAGTCTGCTCATGATTTCCATTTATTAGGTCCACCAGGAGACGGCGTTCGCAAGGTTTGTGGTAGCCAAAAAGTGACGACGGTGTACAGCTTGCTCGTGACGCAGGGGTGGTTGGTTGTTCACATGAACAGAGAAAACGTGTTTCTCGTGCAGTGGCTCAAAATGCACCTAAAAATTGATTTTAAGTATGTTCTAGGATGTATCAAAGGACCCTACACTCTCTGTGCTGATGTGCACCATGCTTTTCTGGGATAAAACTTTGAAGGCACGGGACTAAGATAGAAACTGGATGAAATAGACTTATGTGCAATGTGCTTAGCCTCTGCTATTATTTATTACGCCGTGGTGGAGCAGTTATAACGGTGCTCGGTCGCTGACCTGAAAGACGGGGGTTCGACTTGTCCGCTTCAATCGCATTTTTACGAAGGTGTAATGCCCCATGTGCTGTGCGGTGTCAGTGCACCTCGAATAACCCCTGATGTAAACTTACCCAAAGCCCTGTGTTATTCCGTGTCTCATAATTATAGGACGTTTCTCGCACGTCCAGCCACAGCATTTGTTGAGAAATTTGTAAACTACGCGTTGTTGATTGGTTCGCAGCTATTTTTTTTGTGGCAGCCATGAGCATAAAAAGCAAACTTTGTAACACTTTAACAAAAGCGTGCTGGTACTAACCACGCAAATTCAACAAAATCGCTTAAAACCTTCAGATAAGACCAAAATAAACGAATAAATCGAAAACGCGAAAATCATTTGGACTTGTCAGGAGACGAAGAAAAAGAACTTGTCGAATTCTTTTTTTATCACTCTGGTTTATCAAGGCCAAAGCGTTAGAGGCCTCATCAAATGTGAAAAGCCGGCATCGATGACATCTGCACGTGGTGCTAGCGCCAACATCAACTGACGAAAAAAAATCAGTAGATGACGTCACCATGAAGTCACGTTAGCACTGCAAGAAAACGTGAGCACTGCAAGAAAACATGTTTAAGAAAGTTTTCAAAAAGGGGTGGAGGGGAAGGCGTCCAGTCATCTTTGACGAAAACATAAAAGCCGGTGAAATTTTTTTTATTTTTGTCTTTGCTTGTTGATATTGTCACAAGGTCGATGGACGACGTAGGAACAAGATAACGATATACTTTATGCAGAGTGAATTTGTGCTTCCTCGACGAAAAGAGAATACGGTGTTGTGGTTTCACCGCAAGCGCGCCAGTTCCAGCGAGCGATTGTCTACCAAAAAAGGGAGCTGTGTTCTTTGTCCACAGTGCGTTCTTTGTCCACAGTGCGTTCTTAAGAAGAGTGGCGTGAAAGCGGTCAGTGCCCCCGAAACGCGTATCGCAAAATTCGACAAGACACGCGCGTCATAAATTAGGGCAGCAACCCGGAGCATGAATGAAAAAAAGCCAAGCAAAATCAGTTGTCCTTTTCACTTGATAAACCGCTCAACAATATAAACGTGGCAATATTTCACTGATTAGTAATCGGATAGAGCTATGTTTTCTATGTTTTTATTTGTTTGCTTTTATATTTATTTATTTTTTATTTTGTAAATGATTTAGTTTTTAGAAACAAGGTGCCACCCGTTTCATTCATGCACTCGTGGCATGTTGTGCCAGGTTCCCGAGGAATAACCAGCCAACGAACGAATCAAGGTTAATTTTACATACTCGAATGAATTGCTCTTCGCTTTGCTGCTGCGTATGCGAGTAAAACGTGACTTTAAACTGGATCAATTTCCAATTGTTCGTCAGTTGGCGGAATTTTATTGTTGTTCAGAGAAAATGTCAATCATCTTGAAGAAAGGAAAGATGAAGAGGACGACGAACATGGATTTCTCAGGTACGTTGGTCAATTCAGCTCATGAGATTAACATTCGAGTCCCTCGCTCTGACTTCGGCTATATGTGTTTCGAAGTAATCGTAACACATTCATAAATTAAAATTCTTCATCCGTCACTGCACTTCGTGGCAGGGGTGCGCAGGTAACCTAAACCAGGCTCACCGAACGTCCGGGGACGCCGTTGCAGTGTTCAATCGGAAGGACGAGAGTTTCCCTCGCGAGGAAATCAGTGACGTCACGGTGGTGCTGAAAAGACTGACGCAGGGTGGTGTTCTTGCTTCGTCACTGGTGAAGCAACTCTTGTCAAACATGGTGCCTTGCACGGTCGTTCCCGAGCATTCGGAGACTGCGAAATCTGCGATCTCACCAAATCTCGTGCTCAGTGGCGAGCCCGATGACCGGGTCGTCTACACCGAGGAGCTTCCTGGTGCTTCCGGTCATCCGGCTGAGATTTCGACACCACGTGCCGAAGATGTGGTCCCAAAGCCGTGTACCTTCGCCGGAGCCGCCGGTGACGGCACTTCCGCGACGACAGAAACGAAACTTGGCTTCGAAGTCGATGCAAGCGCGGATGCTCCCCAAGATGGCGTCACGGCGGCGCAAGCGTCTGGACCATACTGGGCGCCATCACTGTGGGTAACAGTTCCTCGCGGCGCTTCCACCATCACCGACTACGTAACGGTGAACGTAGTCCAGAATCCCATGCAAGTGGTCTTCCAAGTGGAGCCAAACATCGTCGTGTGCAACGGCCTGTGGCCCACGGGGCTGGACTACAGCCAGTTCCACTATCATGAGGACAATGCCCCCTCTGAGAAGCGTAGACTTACCCGGTCGGTGCGCAACGCCAGACGCAAGCGCGCACAACGTCGCGCATACAAGCTCGCCTCAGGAGAGGACGAGTCTGGCTGCGAGGCCGACTCTGAGCCGTCGACGAGCGAGGGCGAGAAAGGTGATGACGACGATGACAATGGAAATGAACAGATGGCATCCCTCAGTTTGTGGTAGCTGGCCATGACGAGCCCACGTTGGACTGCTCCACGCGTGATGAAATGATTGGGGGTAAACTTGTCTTGTTTCTTCGATTCGTTGACAGTGTCTCATTGTTCGCCGGCTCAACACGCGGACACACAACAGAAGCTCGTATCTTGTGTGGCATTTATAAGGACTGAGTGTAGAGTGACATTACGAGTAGGCCCACGCACTGGGCTTGTTGATGAATAAACCTCGAGAACAAACCTCGAGAAAGAATGAAGCTCGAACACTACGGTCAAGTGGGCTGAAATTACGCTCAGTTGGGCGGAAATTGGCACGGCAGTGTTTACCGAATCTGGATGAGCCATCACTAGGTAGCTTGTCACTAATCTCTGAATTTTCCTGTCCACCTATCGAATACACAAGTGCATACTATAATCCTTAAAAGCGGCTTCTCAATAACAGGGGTACGTCTTCGAACGTAATTGTAAGGTGTCATATGATGAAGTAAATGGTTTCATTAACTGATAGGGGCAATTCCGTCTTCTGTAATCATTTTGCTTGAGTAACAATAGCACCAAAGCGGTGCAAAGGCTTGGCTGGAATGACCATCCGTGTGTTTGCTGCGAATACCTTTCATGGAATGTTTTTTAATGAGTCGCTGATAAAAACTCATAAAATGCATGTTTCTGAGACAGTAAAACATGTACTACTCGACGGACTCCGTAATATTACATTGGGTTCATTGAACAAAACAGTCGACAAATGTCTGCTCTTTGGATCACTGTCATATTCACCATCTTGACAACTCTGATTGGTGCTGATGGCTCCTGCGGCCTGTCCGACTGGCTTAAAATTATGTCATTGCGAAATTTGGCAATATTGATAAATTTGTCAGTATCCAGAACAGCGATGCTCGAGTCTGTTGTCGCTATCAGAAACCAGGTGAAACGGCTTATGATGCCGGCGCTTAGCTCAGCCATATTACTACAACCTCCAAAACCGAGAAAAAGAAAACTGGATGACGTTAATTTTATGTCTGGCGGCCCAATGCTACCAACTTCCCACAGACTGGGTGCCATCCCCAACGACCATGAACTTTGTTCGGCCGAGCGCCAGTACAGAAGTGCGCTTGTACATACCTATTTAGGTGCCTGGCAGCAGCAATTTTGACCCCCCCCCTCACCCCACAGCAGCGACGAATGCTCAACTACTTCACCAAGGCTGTGGTACATTAAGGCATGCTAAGGGGCCTTTGCAGAAGCTCATGGGGCTACCTTTCGAGATCAGTACTGACAAACAACCGTTTGGCGTTTTTCTCTACTCGTTCGCGAAAAAAAAAATGCACCTGGAATTGAATGTGGTTCCTCCCGCATTGGAAGCACACGCTATAACAATGTAGCCTCCGCAAGCTTGAAACCACCAATAGGAACAGACACACCAAGAGGAGGGTACTGGATTGGTTAGTCGTTCTTGCGCATGTAAGAAAACGGTGGTGGTAGTGTACCCATTCTAAAAACCAAATAATCGACTAAGGTACTTCTGCTGAGCCTTCATTTCATACCCAACAGAAGGCAATGAAGTAAAGGAACTGTCCAGACAGAACCTCCCTTCTCCTGAATTCTCTTTCATGCCTTCTTTATCTTAAAGGGGCGCTGAAACACTTCCTTGAGTAACCATGAAATTAATTCACTAGAAAAGCATATTGCCTCACCATCTCTACGCCGCAAAATTTTTCAGACGTCGTCCAGTACAATCGGTATTACAAAGATTTGTCACACGCTGCAATCGCATTTTCTCTTCTCTCGTCCCGACGAAAGCGCTGGAAGCTAAGTAGGGAGGGAAGGGAGGGGCAAACGAAAAACGACACGCACGCCTCGTGACCTTGAGCACTTCTTTTTTTTTTCCGAATACGTTGCGTTTTCAGTGCGATCGCGCGAGCAAGCGTGGACAAGTGACGGCCTCTCGCGGTGATCTCTGTAGCGACCAAGCGCGTCATGTTCAAGTCAGCCAATGGCTGATAGATGGGCTATCTACGTGTGGCTTGTGGACTTCTTCCGTTATTTGTCGAGGGAAGAGAAAGCAATTTTTAGCTGACTTCGATAATTTATCGTATATTCCAGGCCGCGTGCAGCGCTTTCACATTTAGCTCACGTGTTCTCGGGAGCCTCTACTACCGATCGGTAGCGTTTTCTTATGCTTATGCTCCATGAGTGACGCGCGAGTCCCACGTAAGGAAAACTGTCCCATTTCTTCTTTTATGTAAATTCAATTTTTCTGTTATTGCTACCCAGACCAGTTTCGCATTTCCTCGGGGATCACCGGCATTACTAGCTGTTTTTAGGAGGCAAGGAGAGGTGGTTCTTCTCTCATCGCTCATACCCAATGCAGGAGATTGGCCGAGTAATAGGTGAATATTTTAGCATTTTCTTTAGGATACTACTTGTATAAACAGGGATTAAGTAGTAAAACAGTTTTAAGTACGAAATATTAGTAATGAAGTGCATAAATGATGAAGAGTTTAGCTAGCTATTTTAATCATGCTTGATGTTCTGAGGTAAAAGGCGTGAAGATGACGACGGACACCTTGCACTCACAGGGAATTTTTTTCTTGCACATTGACCCGCAGGTCGCGGGATCAAATCCCGGCTGTGGCGGCTGCATTTCCGGTGGAGGCGGAAATGTTGTAGGCCCGTGTACTCAGATTTGGGTGCACGTTAAAGAACCCCAGGTGGTCGAAATTTCCGGAGCCCTCCACTACGGCGTCTCTCATAATCATGTAGTGGTTTTGGGACGTTAAACCCCACAAATCAATTTTTTTCTTGCACGTCGTCGCCTTCCTGCCTTTTACATTTGATGATACAATTTTAATGCGTCCAACTGCCGACTTTACCATTCGATGTGATGCCGTCCATTTTTTCTTTTTTGCCCTGAAGGTGCGAGCGTCGCCCACACCGTCGAAAAGCACCGTATAACTAACCACAGCCGCGAAATCAATGATGATCACGCATACGCGTTACGAAAATCCTGTTCAGCTGCTCACGTGATGTGGGTATTCCGAGAAACAGAAACCTTGACGCCAAAAATCGATGCTTATTGACAAGGTAGTCGATGCTTGCGCGTTCAAGTTAAAATAATTGGTGGTTGTACGTTCGTGCGTACCGCCGTATGTGTGCGCGTATGCATAGCACATGCGATAAAACGAAAGTGTTTGGAGGGGCTTGAACCACTCAATAAGAGGGGGGAGGGAGGAGTCAGCCCCGTACATAGACATAAGAGAGAGAGGGGCACTCACCGTCAGCTGGTACCGCACTTCCGCCGGAAATAATTGAGATATTCATCAGTCGAGTACTCTTCCAGATATTAGAAAAAAAAGGAAGGATACAAGTACATTTGAGAGCACCAGAAACGGAAACCGTACGTTATACGAAGCGAGAACTAACCGTCGAGCCCCCGTACGCGCTGCGGACAAATCAATATTAGGTGTGAGGAAAAAAAGTTTTTTGTACCCACAAGGTGGCAGCACTTGCCTAGCGGGCAAAAGTTGCAAAATTAGCGCGCTTTTCAATAACAGAAATAGATCCCTTGATGAGCTCGGAAATTTATCACGTGGCGGAGTACGCGTAATTCACCCTTGAAGGTAGCGAACGGGGGCACAGAATTTTCTAATGTACAGAAATTTTTTATAGTTTCCGTTTTTGTTTGTTTTGCTGCATACATGTCTCACAATCTGATGACCTTGTAACTAAGCCAAGCTAATCGTGGTGGCGAGAAACTACGGTTCACCGAAGTTACACAGCTAAAAGCATTCTCAGTTAAGGCGACTAGACCATCCTCCATGAACGCCTCTATTTCGTCAGTTAACCACCATACCGAGGTTGCAAAGGTCGGTTTGCTACAACCGTGGTTAGCGGCATAACCATGATTTCACGTTCTCAGCGAGCCTCGGTTGCACGTAACCGCGGTCATGTTCAAGGCTGTTTAGGCTGCCTTTGCAACAAGATTATAAAACAGGAGAACATCGATGTGCGTTATACGATGGAATTTATTGCGAATGAAACGAAGGAATGGTGACCAGGTCAAAAGGAAACTACGCTTTACGTGCCACTGCAAAGGTATACACCACCACTCTTCACACCACTCTTGACATTATACCGCGCGATTTAGTAACCCCCGCTTATCAATTATGCCACATAGGTACGCACAACCTACCCCTGCTTAAATGTCCTGGAATCTCATTCCTACTAATAGTATCTGGTGTTCTATGCACCAACAGCACAATATGATCATGAGGCAGGTTACTTATAGTGGAGAGCTTCAAAAATTTTGATCGTCTGGTGTTATTTAACGTGCACTGCAATGCACAGTACACATGACTCTCCAATTTCGCCGCTATTGATATGCGTTCGCAGCAGCCGAGATCGAAATTGCGGCATTCGAGTCAGCACTCGAACACCGAGTAGGACGAAATTTTGTTCTCACAGCACTCAAAAATGGTGTCTGGCATGAACCTAGATGAAACGCCTTCATATAAATAGGTCGCACGAGAAAGAGTGCCCCTACACACCATGGGTCAGAACAGAAAAGGTGAGTTTTTTTAGACGTCACAGAGAGTGAGCTTTTTTGAAATAATTGCAACTTGAGTTCAACCACAACCGGCTTCTCATTTTCTCTTTTATTGCTTACATGTGAACGCCCGCAAGAAGGTGCCAGCACGAAGGAAACTGAAATTGATGTGTTTCCGTACTACCGCAAACAATTGTTTAACGTGTGCTTGTAATATAATGTCGAAAAAAAATAGAAAAAAATAATCAATCAGGAATTGGTAGTGCAAATAAAGAAAACTCTGGGGCGTTGTGCAGGTGGTTTGTAGCGGCCTGGGAACGGTTTCGCGAAGCAAATGATTCACTTCGTTTTATGTTGACTTACTTAGTGTATCGGTCTACTGTTTGCGAGAACCTCGCCAGCAACATCCGCTTCCTTAAGTGTCTAGAATTTCAATTTTTTGTTCAACTACCATCTGTCCTGCCTCT